ACTGGCCTCTCATCCTGTGATCGGCTGGTGACAGCTGATGAGGAACATTCGATTAGGCAATGCTAATTTTCTCTACTTCCTGATAGCGACTGAATCTCTTCCAAGACTGCAAACAAAAAAGTTCGCGGTGTCTACCTTAGGATCATTAAAAGGTCTGACAAAAGCAGAACAGAATTAAAACAAAGTTTAACATAAGTAATTCAAGAGCTGGTCATACTACGCATAAAATCGGCGTGAACGAGGTTAAACAAAAATTTAGAAATGCAACCCATCCTTGATAATTTTCTCTTCAGTTCTGGAGAATCTTTTTCCAACATCACATCCTTCTCTAGGAAATGTAAATTTAGGCGCTAATGCTCGCTTTTCATGTGTTGAGAAAGTACTGGAACCTAATTCCTTTCCTAAAAAAAAAGGGGGGGTAGAATTTTACGATGAATTGTAATTTCATAACTTAAGCTATGTTATTTAGATCATTAACTGCTCCTCCTTTCTTATCTCATCTTTTCTGTCTAGCCAAATTGGAAGGTAATTATCAATATCATCCGTTCCTATAAGTAAAGAACTCTCCTGTGGCTTAATATACACTGTTGACTCTCTGCGCCGGCTGATTACTGATCAGCAAATTGCAATCGTAAATAGCAAGGAAATATCTGTGTGTGTATCAGTGACAGTTAGTGATAGCTGTTTATGTTATAATGTTATTACCCAAACGATTTTACTGATGTGGAAAGTATTAGTATAAAATCAATACCTAAATTCTGTACTAAACGATATTTGTATAATTATCATCAGATATCAGTCATACTTGGCTGATTGTTTGTTTGATTTAACAAATTCTTTTACATAATTATCGATTTCAATGTAAAATATTGACGTATCAAATTAAACAAACTGGTTGGTTCAAATATACACATGAATAGTTAATGACTTAACATCTTTTCCAAATTGTTTTCCTCTTTCACGGCGTTCTTTCCGGATTCATAAGCGGGTGAGTGCGACGAGTTCAGTTTGTTTATTAAGCTAATGATGTGTGTAGTCAAATATTCCAAGGCTATATTAAGCCACTTATTTACTCACTGAATGCGAATCTTTCTTTTCATGTTCACCTAACATCCTCATCCGAACTGATTTAACAGATTGTGAGTAACCACGCTTGAACTATCATTTATCAGTACGCAGGATAAAGGGTCGATAGGGATGGTTGAACAAACGAATGGATCTTAATAGGGGAATTCAGACAGGATACTCTTTTCTGAGTATCATTAGATTTATGGACAAAGATGTTGCATAGAAATAAAACTTTTAATTGTTACAACAAGTGAATTTCAACGTTTCGGGCTACGGCCATCAACTGCTAAAACTTTTACAATAAAGTTGAAAATCAAAAATTGACAACGTTAAAATCCTAGTTTGTTTCTTTTAACATTTTTGCACAGTCATCCATTTGAGCAACACAAAACAGTGTCATTTTCCCTGGCTTTATAACATAATAAATTCCTTACAGATGTTGAGAGAACACGAATGAGGCTTATAAATAGGGAGCTGTAAGTTGGGTGATTTATAAGCTTCAAGCCATCAATCTTTTTTAACTTGGAGATGTTAGTTCGAAGTCTCCTTGGAAATTAGAAACTGGGGATATCGATACTAATAATTATGCATTTTGGTATTATTTTTGACAAGCAGCAGATTAATGCAGCAAAGGAAGTAAAGAGCATAGGTAGAGTGATAACATGACATATGACTCTTTGCGCACAACTTATTGTTTTCAAAGGTTGTATGGCGTGGTCATCATGGAGTGGCGTCTGCAGAGGGTGCAATTTTCAGTACAGGAGAAGAGTCGGTAAGTGACAAGAGGGAGTCTTTGATAATCTGTGACTCGAAAGTGCAATGGCGGGTTTTCGCCATTGTTTTACAACTTCAAAAAACTATACAGGATTTATAAGCTTTTATTAAAATAGATAAATTCTTATGTAAATATTGCAATGATAATTAAGCAGGAACCTCCAGCAGCTATTTTCAAGCGATGTTTTCTTTAACAGAAAGAAGATGACTTAATCTCCAACCGTTTATTACTTTTAAAAGATTATCTTGATATCCTTACTTCCAGAATTTAACTGCTCAAGAACTCGGGAATCACGGCCTTGTAAATGTAAGTGGTTTTATATATGAGGAGAAAGTAAAATATTCATTTGTTGGTAGAAAATACTGCACAGATATCCTTCAACCGTTCTTTTATTAAACGTCAAACTCTTTGTTTTATCAACAGAGTTGGTAATTTAGATTGGCCACCGTAAAAATTATCAAAGCTGACGTTTCGAGGTTTAGCTCTGACGAAGCGCTAACGGTCGAAACGTTAGCTTAGAAAATCTTTACGGTGGCCATTTTACATTTTCAATTTAGTTGATAAGACCCGAGATATTTTGGAAACTTACCCCTTTTTCTTTGTAAAAAGAAAAAAAATGGCTCGCACTGAATTAAAAACATTTTATTTTTTCTGCAGGAGTTTTATTACTACCGATTAGATGCTAGATTTACATTTTGTCACAAAAAAACAAAGGCAATTTTTCTTTAGTAGAAAAAGAAAGATCATTACAGTTTCATGTAGAACAGGCGTGATTTTCGCGAGCGGGAGCTGAGTATTTTTCCTTGGTGAAAATCATGGTTGCAAAATTTGATTTTTACGGCAGGGGAGAGCTGGGGAGAGAAAGAAAGTTGCACTAAGATTGTGAACGACGGTTAAAAAGAAGTAGAGGGGGAGGGGATGGGGATCAAGTTTTATATAAATCATTATTTTCCTTTTCAAAATTAAAAAGGTCCTCCTGAAATAAATTCTCAGCGAGAGAAGTCTGTCAAATTACATTCAACACTTCAAATTCAGTGCTTCGTGAAGGGTTTTCCTAAACCAGAGGTGAACTGGACAAAAGATGGAAAGTTACGTGATACCAGGAACATGCTCACGATTAATCGAGTAACTTATGGCGATGTTGGTCAATACAAATGCAGCGCTGAAAACAGTGAAGGGAAAAGTAAATCAGCTTTTCATATTACAGTCACAGGTAAACGTTGACTTAATTTTGTTTCCTTCAGTTGCTCTTCTTATTTTATGACATTTTTTTCTTTCTTTTTTTTTTTTCATACTTTCACCTTTTTTGAATTGTACTTTTGAATTCTATGCCCA